AGTATATTGTGAGCGATACCAGGCTGTATCATGTTTTGTGAATCATATACAGAACCATGCTCGTAATTTCCTTCATTTAGGGTAGATAATCCCGAATTCAAGAAATTCACGTATTGTACTTGCTACATGGAAATGTAAACCCGTTTAAGGTTGCCCTGTTGTCACGCATGAGGTGAGACTTCACTCAATACAGAGATCTGTCACCTTGTTCACTCTCTCCAGGATGCCTGCTTCCGTGTAAGTATTTTGCCGCGTTCTAATTGCCGAACACATGGCACTTAGATGTACCATGATTGGGTAAAGCTCGGCGAAAAACACTGAACAGATTAGTAATTCGTATACGAGTGTTGAGCGGAAATTTACATCATCACGATTTTTGGCGCCAATATTATTTCCAGACAAATTGGCGCTGTCCGTTGGAAACGCCAAATCTCATTAAAGAACGAAAATGCATTTCAGTCTGGTATACTTGAATCAAATGTATTTTTAGCATATCGTATATACTACGCGAGTTCTGCAAAAAATGCCAGGATGCTTACTTTGTGTATGCGACGAAGGGGAACTTGAAAAAAACCCTTGAAGAAATATCCATTTCCATGCAACATGATATCGATTATCAGAAACCCACAGCTGTCGACAATAATGATATTTGTTTCTTCGATGCTATCAATATTGCATGGACTTTTAAATACTGGGAAATTCGTGACAAAATAATGCCAGTGGGAGATAAAACGTAATAAAAACACCTTGTCAAATGTCATGTATTTTATTATTTTATTATTTTATTAAATTAAAGATATAGGCTTGATTCACGGGCGCTTGTTCAACAAGATAGTGCCTACAAGATGGTAAAGATAACGGCGGTCGCCTGAAAGACGGTATAGTATTTAACAGTGTGTATTTACAAGCATACCCGATAGTCAGTATCTGATACGAATAAACCGCCTCCTTTAAAGGCGAAGCCGTCTAACAGCCTCAGCGTACATACTCACTAATACGAACGAGTCTATTCACGGTGTAACAGTTATCGAAAAAGCAAGTGTGTGAATTAGTGAGAAATTCATCCATCTTTTCCGATTAATAATATGTCACATACAATAGATGCAGGATGATAATTTCAAGAAGACACCATGCGATTGACTGCAATGTGTCACTGAAATGACCCGTACAATACACACGCGTATTTCTTTATGAGTGAAACAAGGAATGAACACGGTTATAATGTGATGGGCCTGTCAAAACTCGTACACAACTCGTTTAAAAGGCAATTTGATTTTGGTACTAGATTACACGGAATTGTCTTAGTATGTCATTTACCGACCTGGCTCAGTGTGACAAAGAGGGATTTCTGCTCACACGAGTGCGATTTGGCAAGCTGGGTTCGGAAACGTGCATGTCGTTGAGCTTAGTCAATGGTTTAGGTGTTCGTTGTTTTCCTGCAGCGAGAACTTAAAGAGTATTATGATCAGGTTCATTCATACGCCCACCCCTGACTGTGTTTTCACCGTATTGTCAACCATTCAGACTGTCCACTATCAATGTAAAACAAATATGCACGCTGCGCTACAATTGCCGAACAACGAAACCCCGATCTTGAATGAAAACATTATTGAACAAGAATTGTTCTTTGAAAAAAAGACAAGAAAAAGGTAGTTAATTGACTATTGAGGCATTTTCGATGTTTGTCAAAAGCGATGAGGAACTGAAATAACATATATGTCACGTTCGAGGTCATATTACAGTAACACGTGACACGCAAGATAAAAATCGACACCGATTAAATATAACAATTGTGACTCTGATCCCACTCAACAATGACAATACTAGTACTCAGAATTTAATCAAATTTCTCTATGAGCAAAACTAGGGAAGTATTTAACAAATAACCTGACTATGTTTGCTTGCTGTTAATTCAACATATGGTGACCATTTTGTTCAGTTTAGAATTATTGAATGTATGTGCATTGATGCACAAAATGAACAAATATATACTGTGGGTAACAGGGTACTTGTTGTTGTTGTTGTTGTATTTTTAAATTGTAGTTTCAAAAATAGGTGTAGCATGAAATAAAGCTATGAAATAAATTTGTGAATAATATTTGACCACTTTTTTATTGTTGTGTAACACGCGATTGAAGATTTCCATTGTTGGGACTATTAGCTATTAACAATGGTTAAGACATTATTTTGCCAGGCGATTTTATTATGAGAACGCTTTTATCGTAAAACTTGTTGTCTTCCGCTCGTAATCGTTTGTGTTTGGCAATCATCCAATCCCCCCTCCACCCCACGAGAAGCATTTTACACCCTGAATACCTTACGACGACGCGTTGTGTGTGTGTGACATGACTCGCTTTGGTAACCACATCTGAGTCTCCTCAATCGTCACGACGACGTCTTCTTATTCCGATTGATAGTTGCTTGTCTTACTATCAAAACATGTGGATAAGACTTACATATGATGTAATCTGACAGAGAGTAATTAAAATAGCGAGTAGGAATCTACACGCAGGGACCGTGCCGTTGCGGTCAATCCTGTCGATCAAACAAGACGTCTGGCAACTGTTTTTTTGTATTACACGCTTGTTTTTACTATGACACAAACCTGTCATGTTTTGATGTGTCCAGCGAATCCACGTGTGCGTATTGTGACCACACCTAGACACTATATTACTAGACACTTTTTTTTTATCCTAGATTGTCAATTTCTCGATAAGGAAAGAGGGAAGCTGTTTCAAGAAATAGGAATTAAAAATAAACAAAAAAAACAGACAATTTCATTAAAATAATGACATTCTTCATACCCCTGGCAAAGTTTCTAAATAAGGCAAAACAGAAATCAGGTACTAGTATATGATAGCTATCACCTCTACATTGGGAGAATCCTGTAACTATCATAAATTTGTTTTTTCTATTAAGCTTTTAACATCTTTTAGCTTTAATTTTATCTTATAGTTTAGCTACTGTATCTTTTTATGATTTGTATTTTATTTAGCATACTGCAAACTCTGATGACATAGTAGTGTAATAAAATTATTATTATTATATATCGGACTCTCGCCCTCATGTTCTGTCTGGTTTGTACATCTCACAACGCATCTCCAAATGTTTGCGACAGTATGAAACAAATATGATTGATATACACCCGTATATGTCTTCACTCCGTTCGTTATTTCGAAAACAATCTTAGCAACTTAGGAGTTATATTAATAAATCTTTTGTTACGTTAATATGCAACCGTTATGTTTCAATTCGCCCTGGCATACGGTGTACATCAACTGCCAAATCGAATTGATGTAATGAACTTGCGATGGCCTCGTCAATTACCGCTTGTTTCCTCGCCTTGCCGGGTAGCCAACCGTTCACCGCCGCCGTTGAGTTCAGTTCGCGAATAAAACAAAGGTCAAACTCCAGGTGGGCGTGCCCTTAAAGTTCGGGAGATCGTTGATTCTCAACGATATCCCAGGCAATCTAATAAGAATGATGACAATAAAACAGAGGATCTGACGTGGCGTGCAATATTTCATCTGAACAAGCAGTGTCGGTGCCTAACAACGAATTTATTTTATTTGTCCTATGCAGTCCGGCTCGGGGGACTGACATATGCGTGCAAAACAAGCTAATAATGACACGACTTGAAGTGGTCGACTGTGCAAACCACGGGACCGTCGATAGAAGCACTGCAGCAGTCTTCAATTAAAGACCCGCGAACTGTCACATATTCTATCTCGGCTTGATAAAAAATAAAGGAAACAAACGAAATTGTTTGTATTGTGAGTGCCCATCACACAGGGATCTTACTGGTAACCGCGTACAGCCCCCTAAGGCTAAGGGCCTCGGTCTCCTACATACCCAAACAATCGCTATGCAAATTGTAACATCGTATTAACACAATGCAGTAGAGAATTGACTCACACCGTCAAACAAGTAATCACCCCAACCGAGGTCATTTATTTTTACCGTATTCAAACTTCAGAAAGATTTCCATATCTTATCAAATCCTCTGTGAACCTATCGCGACTACACGCCACTAAAAATTCCGATTCCATACCATAACCGCTCGGTCGTCATCCATTTCATTGGATTTACTGAGTTAATGTAACCTTTTCAGCAAAGCTAGCGGATTCTCCGCCGCAAACATACAAGTTAAGCAAAATGAAATTGGGGTTAGAATCTAAAGTGCTCACTGCTTTCACCTTCCCGGGGTTGCATTTGTAGTCCATTATAGAAAGCTCACATGGCTACTTCAATAAAAAAGGGAAGTCTCGTCTGTTGGTGGGCGTACAATGCCTAGTATGATACCGCAATACTAGTAATTCTGACATACACTGTTACACACAAACACGTTCTACGCCGCAAGGTGAGAAAGATACTACTCAGATACGAGGTCTTCGAGTAACACGTATGGGCCGTGTTGGGTTTTACGCTGGCGTCGATGTACGTTGTACACAGTAATTACGAGTGGTTGAAACGTACATACATTGAATGTGTTTATCTATACAACAACTTCGTAGCAGATAACCATTGATTATTCTCGGCAACTGCAATCTTTTGCCAGTGTGTCTATGATAAAGGCAGCCATATTTTAGCAGAACGTGACCTCGTCGAGGATTGTCGATGTGTTCCATGTTTTCACACAATTACATTGTTTCGAACTATATCTTGCTTGTGATAGTGGGATTTTAAAATGCGTATCTTCTATAAAAGCTCGTACATACTGTAAAAATAATCCCTATCTAACTATTTTAATTGATACCACTAATTAATTGGTCCCATTAAACTGGTCACATTAAAAAGAACCGGGTCACATCATGAAACAGCACCAACTGAATGACTGATTTATTAAGTTCGATACGATCAAGGTTGGTCATATATGAGAGCTAGCCACATAACACGGTATATAAGTTAAGTGGGTCGGATCTGTCAATTGAATGACACGTACGCGTCAAGGACTGCCAAATCACAAACAGCTGTGGAGTCAGAAATACAGGTAAACCTACCTTGACGATCTGTTTCGTAAATTCCTCACTGGACGGCCAGACTCGGTTTGGGCATCCGTGGTGTTGGCTGACCGCTCATCGCCGGTACCCACCTCCGAGTCGCTGCCACTACTGTCGTTGTAACTTGCCAGGTCATCATAGTCGCTGTCTCCCAGCATCATCATGTTTTACGCGTTCTTGTAAAAAACACCGTTGTTACTTCATTCGTATACGGCTGCAACGAGAGAAAAACGTGTGGATACGATAAATACACGGTGACTGAAAGCTATAACTGTGCCGTGTACGAGTTGCAAACAAAAAACATGAAGTTCTCGGACAAACAGTAGCACTGTGGCGGGTACGCGATGCGAGAGCAAACACTGAACACACGCTGAACAAACACTGCTCAATATACCGGGTTGGAATTTCAGGAAAGCTGCGTTTGCAAAACAAAATAATAGAGAAGAGAGATATTTGCCTAAAATGACATGGATGGCACGGGTGAACGAACATATCTGAATGCATAAACGCTGGTCCACGAACTCCACAGTAAAATCTCCTTATGTGTATATGTGTGGTTGCGCTCGTACAAAAGGCGGCTAACTTGCTAAGCTCCCACCGAGGTAATCCGGCCTCCTAGCGAAAACTATTACCGCAAATAAGAATAAACGTAAACAACGTGTTGAACCATTGGCCGAGTGAGACGCATGCGTAAACCGCGGTGTCATGAATGGTAGCAGAATGAGTTCGCCTTGTACGAGGGTGTACGTTTCCGAACTGGTGGCGTTGCCATAGTAATGGAATGACGCCATTGTCGCCACGAGTGATGCAATAGGCATAAGTATAGGTCGTTTTTATTGGAAAAAATGTGTTCGACTTGATAGTTGATTATCATGCAAATTGAACGTAGTATAAATAAACTAATAATAAGTGAAATACTGGGTAGTTATATTGTTAATATCGTTTCTTTTGTTTATTTAATTTGTTTTAACAACCTTTAGTTGTATTATGCGTGTTTGCACCTGCCATGTATAAATCGTGTTTATCACGTGACATTTCAGCAAATATTTACGAGTACACACAAGTCAGTCGGTTTACATGCGCATATCACTTCTCAGGAACAAGTAATAGTAAAATACAAAATATAGTATAGTATAGTAGTATAGTATATTTTATTTGACTCAAATTAATGAATTGAAAATACATTAACCAAGGTCAATAATCGTACACAAAAACACGAAATACAGATATAAAAAATATAACTTGTTAAAACGGATAACACTAACAACTATAAGGTATTACATCGTAAAATTATGTTGATAAACTTTCCTAGACTATTGGCAATGAAACTGTCTTTTATATATGTAATAGTTGTGAGTACCTTACAGTTAAGTGTGTCTGCCGCGGCGCCTGTGTGTGTTTGACGGTGAGGGGGGGGCACCTCTTGCTGGAAGCGTATCTCTGTCGTACGTCAGGGTTTATCATTGGGCGATAAACTAAAGGTTTTTTTGGGGGGGGGATATTGTCAAAAGCAAAAGCCGGAGAATATGCGAACACAAATTGTCGTGATACATATATAAATACAATATTAGCAGGAAACCAATTTCCAATAATGTCCGTGTAACGGTATACGGTGTTTTACGATGTTCTACGCAATCCAGTAACTCGCTTTTCAGCACGTTAAAACCCAATGACCTTAAAACAAGGAGTGAGAGTAAAGCACAGATCGTAAAAATGTAAAGCATGTGTCGGCAATTTGAAAAGCACTCTATGCTCCACTATCAAACTCCGGCCTGTAAGATTTCAACATTTATTAACCCGTGTAAGCAGTTCCACCGCTCTCTGAATGATTCTGGCTGTTTCCCATGTCTCTTGTCTCTCGTGATAAGTCATAATGACAGGTTGGAAGGACTCGCGTGCCATGTTTTATCGACTGAGGGGCATTTGTCGTGCTGCCAAACGGTTAGGATACGTGATGATTCGGGCTGCGGACACGGTGATCGTGACCTTGACTGCTCTTGTAACGCGGTCAGCAAACTCATGTTGCTTTTCAACGTTGACACGAATGTGAAATACTCAAGCCATTAGCTGATGCACAATTAGACGCACAGCCTTGAACCAAGATTCTATTTTTGGGGTGTCAATTGTCAGTACAGTTTTCTAACTTATATAAGTGAATGTGCGCCCTCTAGAGGCAGTAATTAAATTGACTTTGAATTGGAAAGTACCTGGCATCTATATAAAAATTTACTGGAAGTAAAATGCTTATCATTTGAAACACTGTCATCTGGCAATATTCACACACAAATCTGGAAACAGTATTGAAAATAACTTCAGACAGCCCGGAAATATACCTTTCTGGTCACCCCACTTATTCTCGTACATCGATCCAACAACTGTCACAGCGACGTCTTTGAATAGAATAACGATTTTGTCGATCAGTATCCTGGTATTAACACAAAATTTGCCGTTTTTTTTATCAAATTGGTGATGAAGAGTTATTGAAAAAGATCCTAGCTAGTAAAAATTGCGAGATGAAGTTGAGGTGTGGTTACAGTAAACAGTAAGTAAATGAGTTCACTTCGGTCAAACTCGTTCATCGACCTATTCGTACTCTGATATGCGGTGTCTGAGTACGACACAGTAGACGCTATGCTCAGAAAACCCGGTATTGTTTGTTTGCATCAAGCCAGGGTACGCGAATCTATTAAAATATGCACACACACCATATCAATTTAAGAAACATACTTTGATATGATAACCGGCGAGTGGTCCAGCCACTGAACTTAAATCGCCACGACAGACGTGTTCGATGTGCGTCCCATGCGACGTACACAATACCTGTAAAATAGATTTATTGTTTCCGAATTCTGTGGCAGCAATGTTTTAGTGACGTGACAAAACATGATAACAAACATTTGAATTTTTGTATTCATTATTAGACATTGTGTCTCTGTGTTCACATATTTTTTTTGGAGTGACGTGGTTACATTGTTATCTTCCTAGATATGAATGGGTTAAGTGTCGAAGAAAATCGACTCGCGACTAATGTATCCGCAGGGGTCATAGTTCATCTGTCCATGAAAGGTACTAACGTTTGTACCTTCCATGATCTGTCCAATCAATTATGTTGCGGTTTCACATTGTATTATATATATTTCGGACATCGATTTGTTGGGGGAAATTATACATATCCAGTGAAAATTTTGAATCAGTGCTTTGCCTGGAATTCATGAAAAATCAGTGAAAAATAAACCACAAACCTAATTGCGGCTCAAAAATGAAATTTCTATGTATTAAGGGGTATTATTGTAATTGTTCAAGGATTATAAATGTACTAGTAGAGTGGTCTATTTCATAGCGCTATATCAGTGGGATCCATTGCAGTCTTCTTGCGTGGGTGTCACGTTATTATGTTCGATCCCACAATCGCGTGATGCGGACCTATTGTCGCTCGCGTGTAAAGTCTTTTTTCCCCACGGTAATTAAAACTATCATTTGAGTGTTTGAATGTTTCAGGAAGAGCCTGTACAGAAGATGGAAAAGATTACGATTATTGATCACTGAATGCGGTCGAACCGCCACGCATGCGCAATACAATACTATTTATAACATGCTATCATTGTGTATTTGAATAACGACTACTTGATGTTTGACGTTGACCTAATTTTGCAAACAAGAAAAGGCAGTTGTTTTCGCTGGTCCGCACGGCTTATTTCTGAAGTACACTGGCTTCTCGGATTCGTTCGCACGTGACACGTTTGACTATTTTTTGACCCTCCCCCGGTGCGGTTCATATATGCGTCGAAATACGAGTCACATTAACGAGCTCTAGTAGTACATGACCATTACTTTAACAGGGTTCTGAAAAAAAACAATTCTGCGTGGTGTTTGGAATAAAAGAGCCAATAAACTTTTAGGGTTGCTAAAGTTCCCACCGAGAGCGCATGTGTCCAACAACAAAGCGCATGCGCATTTGTGTAGTCCGAGATTTGCGCGCCACCAAAACAAGAATTTTACGATGAATAAGAACCCGTACTATATGGTTACACAAATACAGTACTCAGCAATTATACACGAAAATGACACGACCTCGTTATTAATGACATATATTACAATCTGGATGATTCTCTAAGCGCTCACACGTGGCTGGAGGAACCATGTCATCTACCAAGTTGTGGTATAAAACGTAGGGCGGTGCACGTGAGAACTGTGTGATAACACCCATTCAGTTGGGTCATTATTAGATATCATTTAACATATGGCAATTGATATTTTAATGTGTGATCTCGTGAAATTTAACAGCGGAAAGTATTTCGTGACTTGTGGTATCAGTAACACAATGATTACGCACCCAAAACGGTAAAGTCACCAATGATTGCCTTTTCAAGGCTAAGGCATCCATGTGATAGTGTAAAAAAAATGTCACGCTTGTTTTATTAATTGCGTTTCATATGATACAAATATTATTATTTTTTCTAATATGCTCAAACCATACTTTGATTCAATGAATACATTTGTTTTCCCAAGTGGCGCCCTCTATAGACGATGCGCTTATATGACGTTAATTGGTCACGGAGGCCGTTTAAAGCGTCAATGTCGTTTTGTTTTCTGAAGTGACACATTGACACATTTTAATATAACCTAGATGACGAGCGATTAAACACAGTTGTCGATTTGAACAACAGTCATTGCGGCCACGTACGTCAAGCTGACGTCACATAATCGCAGTAGCACCAGAGGGCGCGCGGTGCATGGACATTCGGATTAATATGGAATCACACTGCAGTTGTGACCATTAGCCAAACTAAAGCCAGACGCACAAAACAGCTGAAACACGTGCACCTGTTTATTGGCGCTCAAGTTTGTTTTTCTTGTGAACGTAAGCGACGTAGATTCCACATGCAGTGAATAATGGTCAGCTGCGGTGTCAGAGTTTGAACAGTGACTTATATGCAAGACGCAGGTCTTCTTGTGACGACGTTTTTAACAGAAGTAATTCTTATTAAAGAAGACACGTGATATATAATGTAAGCAATGAAGAAACCATCTTGTCAGAAATTCGACACCTTCCAATCGTCACCAGAATGATTTCTGTTCAACGAAAAGGAATCATTCGACTAAATATTGGGAATAAATATTGAATTAACACAATACACACAACGACCACATAATGTAATGTCCTGGGTGGAGATTGGAATAGTCTTATATATACTATGCAGTCAAATTGAATAA